GAGGAGGGGCACACAGGAGTCTGGCCTTCCCAGCAAGGGCCCCTGTCCTCCTCGTGCTGCTGGTTCCCAAAGACCTGACACTTCAGAGCAGGGACCGTGTGCGCCCCGTTTGAAGTTTCAGTCACTGTTTGACAGCTCGGGGCTTCCTCCGTGTGTGGCATTCAGACCCACGGCTGCTGGCATGAAACCCTCCCTCCTCGCTTCTGTGTGGCTTTGGAGCCGGCTGCCCTACGGAGTCACAGTGTGACCCAAAGGCCACTCGGGGCTGTGGCCTCCCATGCCCTGTCCCAGCCGGACCCTGTGCCTGAGGGGAGGGCTCCTGTGCCTCCTGTCAGGTGACTGGAGGGCCTGTCCCTGGCCACAGTCCCAGTGGGCATGGAGACACACAGAGCCCGATGCCCTTGGTGCCGCCCCCTCCGCCGCTCAGCGCGTCTGTTCACTTCCTCTGAGTTCCCAGCCCTGCTGGTCTGCAGAGAGGATGGTGAGCCAAGCTCAGGAAGCAGCAGGCCAGCCAGGGGCTGTCTCCTGGTGGGTTACAAAGCATTTCACTAAGCAGACATCACCTTTGGCAAGAGGCCCCTTTGGTTGTCATGACAACGCGGATAGCTTGTGTCTTGGGGGGATACCGTGCCCTCTTTCTGGCTGCCCAAGGTCCCATGCCCCAGCTCTCTCTCCCAGATCCTTTCAGGCCCTCGGCATCCTGGCGCCACCTCACATTAACGATTCTTCACTTTGGAGCAGCTTTGTCTTGCTCAGCAAAGAAACCGCTTGGCCTACATATCAAAGGACTAGATCAAGCTATTCCTCTACTCAAAACCCTCCAGCCTCTGGCCTCTCTCAGAGCCGGCGTCCTTCCCATGACCTACAAGGTGCTTTGTGACTGGGCCTCCTCACTGGCCTCCGCTCCCACCACTCTCCCTCTCCCTGTGTGCGCACGTGCAGTGTGTGGGGTGGCAGAGAACGGGGAATGGGAAGAGGAGCTTTAGGGATCTCTCTGGAGCCCCAAAATCATGGCAGGTAGGAGGGGGTACACTCCCAACATGCTGGCCTTCCCACCGCTCTCCAGATGCACCAGCAGACACACCTCAGGCTCTTTGCACTCACTCCTTTCTCTCTCCTTTGAATTCTGCACGCCCTTCTCTCTCTTCATGCAGGTCCCTGCTCAAATGCCCCTCCTCAGAGAGGCCCCTGCCTCCCGCCTCACGTGGCTGCCCTCCAGCTTTCTCTTTCCCCCTGCGGCAGCTCTCAGCCCCTGGCGTTCCACAGAGACGTGGTTTCTGAGGGTCTATCTGCCTTCCCAGGAGACGGCCCTGGCACAGGAGCGGGCCCGTGCCCACACGCATCAACGTTTGTGATGGGAGTGAGTGAGTGACTAGTCCTGGAGTCAGGGCCTGGCTCTGCTGCATGGCAGCTTGATGGCATTGAGCAAGCCCCCTGTCACCCTGAGCCTCGGTCTCCTTGTCTGGAAAACGGAGGGGATGAGACCTGCCCGCTGGAGTGATGAGAATAAGTGAGGTGGCACAGTGAGTGGGGCCAAGGCATGCCCCACATGGGGTGGCTGACATGGTCTCCTTTCTCATTCAGCTACATTCCGGATGCTCTCCTTGCCCTGGGCTCCCGGACAGCCTCGGGCTTCCAAGGCACCTGTAACTCCCATCTGCCAAGGAGACCCACACGGTGCCCCAGGAGAAGGCAGACAGCCACGGGGGAAGCGGGAGCCCCACTCCTGCCCAGGGCCCTGCACGCACGCTGGGCAGCCTCCCCGGCTCAGCCGCCCCGCCCTCTGCTTTTCACGAGGCCCCTAGAGACTGCCTCAGGGGGGCAGGGGGCTGGCTGAGATGTCCCAGTGCAGCCGAGAGCCCTGCCTCCAGCAGCCTGTCAGGCCGTGTGGCTGCAGGACGCCCAGCCAGTCACCACAGAGCAGGGCCTTCATGAGCTTCTCAGGGGTTCCCAGGTGTGGGCCCCACAGGAGGAAGGAGACCCACAGCTTTTCTTTTTAAGAGGCTGGACGGCACGTTTGCCTGTTTCAGACACTGTTCAGAGAGGAGTGTTCTGTCCACGTCCCATCCTGCCATTGCCCGTTTGTCGGTAAGATACTTTCTCCAGTTTCTCACGTCTGACCTCCTTCAGAGCACAAGGGCCATGAACCCAGGAGGCGCGAGTGCACCCTGTCTGTGGAGTATGAGCAATGCACTGGGGACACAGAGCAGCAGGGCCCGCCCCGGCCTCGGAGGGGCTCCGGCGCCTGTGCTGGGGGCCCGTGGCCGCATGGCCAGGCTGTCTGGCTCCTCAGGGCCCGTCAGGCACACCACGTGGGCGACAGTGGAGTCCGCAGCTCTGGAGTCTGCGGCGTCTGCATCTCCTGTGTTTCAATGAGGAGTCAGACACTGCTCAGTCACTTCAGAAGTCACAGTCGTCACTGGACGCAAGGGAGAGAAAGTGACTGGTGCCTGGAAGACACAGCACAGACTCCTAGTCTGCTTAGCGCATTTATCAATGAGTCCGATGAGGACAGGAGCAGCAGCCCAAGGGGAAAATAAGTCCCTCTCAGCAAGCTAACCCCCCAATAAATGGGGGGTGTTGCATTTGTGATCAAAAGGACAATCACACTGAAATAGGGTGCTTTGACAACCACTCATAAAAATATGAAAATGTTTAGCCCTAGCCGGTTTGGCTCAGTGGATAGGGCATCAGCCTGCGGACCAAATTCATGGTCAGATTCTGGTCAAGAGCATGTACCTCAGTTTGTCTCACATCGATGTTTCTCTCTATCTTTCCCTCTCTCTTCCACTCTCCCTAAAAATCCATGGAAAAATATCCTTGGGTGAGGATAAATAAAATAAAAATATGAACGTGTTAAACTGACCTCAAGCTTCCTAATGGCCAATGACAGCCTGCCAGGGCCGTGACAACGACCAAGCGGCTGGAATACAGTCCCGGGCGCTGCCTGGAATAAACGCCTAGCTCTTTGGAACCAGGTCTGTCCCTTGTCAACTGTGTGACCTCGGGTTATTCACAGCCCTCTCTGAGCCTCCGAATCTAACTGACATGAAATGGCAACGCCTTCCCTGCTCCGTTAGCACTTGACAGACCCCGGCATCCAGAAGGCACTCAGTCAATGGTCATTGTTAGTATTCCCCTGCTATGGAAATAAAGGCGTAAAGCCGGCACAGCCAGGAGAGCCCTGCCCCTTGCAGACCTCGCTGGAGTCTTCTGTCCAGACTCGAGCTCTAGACTTATGATCAGTTAGACAGCTGTCAGTGAGTCCTCGATGAGGGAAGAGCCGGCCTGAGACTAAAGCTCCAAACACACATGGTATTTTGTTGTTGTTGTCGATGTTATTTTTAAGATATTTAAAGAGCCAGCAAATTAGGAGGACATGCTATGCTCTTGCAAAGATCCAAAGTGGAGGTGAAAGAAGTTAGTGTGGTAGCTCTCAGCTCAAGTAAGAGGAAACCGAGCTGACCAGTCAGCGTGGCTCAGTGGTTGAGCATCGACCTAGGAATCAGGAGGTCGCGGTTCGATTCCCGATCAGGGCACATGCCCGGGTTGCGGGCTTGATCCCCAGTGGGGGACACAGCCCTCCCCGCGGCCTGGCCATGCCCCTGGAATGGGCAGGGGATCTGAGAGTGGGTCTCAGCTCTGGGTGCACTGCCTGGGTTAGTCAGGCTTGGGAACCACTGCTTTAGAGGGAAGTCAAAACCAGGAGGCTAGAGAACTGGACCCTTCGGCTGGCACAGGAAAGATGTGGGCCGGTTTAGTGGTGTTTTTCTGGTTTGCACAGGGCTCTGTATCCGAGGATGGGCGATGCTATTTTTCATCCTCCCTGGGGATTCTAGAGGAAATGTGTGAACCTAATAGCAAAAGGACTAGTGGGACGTAAGGAAGAATTCTCCTCCCCTGACGATGTTGGGCAGTGGACGGACGACTGGCTGAGCGGACTCACAGGAGCCTCCGGGGGTCTCCATCGGAGCAGAGGTCCCAGCCAGGGGAGGGGCCGGCCAGGTCCCATCCCAAGGCCCCAGAGGAACTCCCAGAGTCCCCTTTCATCTTGGGGTGCGCCCTAACCCTTTGGCTTCCTTCCTCGTTGAGGTAAACATGAGCATCGCTCTCCCTTCTCCAGGTGTCACAGAGAACATGCCCGCGCCCGCGGTGCCAGACCTGCATGAAGAGAAGCTGCGGTCACAGCTGGAGGAGGAAAAGAGAAGGTGCCCTTTCTTTCTCCTTGTCCCCCCTGCCCCAGCTCAGAGGGCTCCGCAGAGCCCCCCACCCCCCACCACCCCAGCTCAGAGGGCTTCACGGAGGCCCCCAACCCCCCAGCTCAGAGGGCTCCACGGAGGCTGGGGGCTGCCCTGGGCCGGCAGAGAGGCCGTGCCCGCCCAGGCCTGGAGCTTCTCTAGGAAGTGGGTCCAGCTGTTGGGTCCTGAAACAGCTGGAGAGGTGCTGCCTCTGAGCAGGCAGATGTGGTGCATGAACCCCTGGCTGGTGAGGTGGAATGAGGAGCAGGAAGAGTATCAGGAAGGGAGAGCTGGAGGCTGCTGGCACCTCCTCCCCCCTATTCCAGGCTGAGGCTGCGGCTGAGGCTGCAGGAGCAGCCAGCCCTGTCTACTGCTGCCATCTAGGGGAGCCAAGAGATATGACCACGGGGGTCTTCCTTCCACCTGCAGCTTGTCCCACTTCCCTCCTCTGCCTCCTGATCCGTAAGGCGTCCTGAGAACATCAGACCCTCGTGCAGCCATTGAGGGTCCCCAGGTGGTTTCAGTCACAGAGTGAGCACCCCCAAGCACAGAGCCGTGTGGCCATTACCGACACAGCATGTCACAGCGTCTTGCTAACACTCCAGCCGAGCGCCTCAGCCCATCCATTCCTTCATGCATTCAACCAATGTTCGCGGTCTCCTCCCTGCCGTGGAGAGACTTTGGGGAGACCAAACAAGCCACCTCCTTGCCCCCAAAGTGTCACTGTGACACAGGCCACCCCCGGGCTGGTTAGGCATGCACCCCGAGCACACACACCCCACCACCCGACCCTCCTGAGACTTGAGAACAAGATCCCACGCAGCCAATGGGCAGGTCACTCCTACCACATCCTCCTTCCGAAAGCTCGCACTGCCCTGCACTGCCCTCCGGGCCCCGGGTTCACTCCCCTGTTGTCCTCTTTCTCCCTCACTCTGTTTATTTTCTAGTTCCTTTCAATCCTCCCTCTGTGTCTGTGCTGCCCCCGTCCTGTCCCCTTGGTCCCCACTCCCAACCACGGGGTCCTCTCAGAAGTCAGGGTGTCTCTGCAGAGGAATCCTCATCTACTTCCTGTTGGAAAACCTCTGACTCTGTGGCCTGCCCAGCACCCCAGGCGCACGAACAAAAGTAGTGCCACTTTGGGGCCTGGGCAGGAAGGTGAGCCAGCGCAACGGGAGGCCGTGAAGTCTGGTCCTAGAACAGAGAGCCGTCCCCATCCTGGCTGCTCTCCCTCTGAGCTCTGTGTCACAGAGCAAGTTACTGA